ATAATTAATAACTATTCTTTTAAATCAGGTAAATTCGAAAATCGATGATTGATATTAAAATCGCGTGAATAAAAATCGAAATATTTGCAGAGTCTGGACTTGGGATTTCTAAAAGGCTTGTTTGCATTGTTTTTTGTTTAGACTTAATAAATAAAAATTTACAAGATTAATTGAATGAGCAAATAAATATTTTCACCGCAAATCCACCTATACTTTTTTTTCTCTTTTTTTGTTTGCTTTCACTCCAGAATACAAGAAGCAGCGACGTCTGAATTACGAAAATACGAGCTATCCCGCCTGATGGATAAAAAATACGGAAAATCTTATTTTCTGTGTGTGAAATCGGAGAAAATAGCTAATATAAGTAAAAATGCGGAAGGGTTAGCAGCTAGGAGGTTGTTTGAATTTTCTGTTTTCTTTGAAAATCGTAAATAAATATAATTATTTTACTTCAACGACTGAATTTTCACAAAAAAGCGGAATATTTANAAAAAAAAAAAAAAAAAAAAAAAAAAAAAAAAAAAAAAAAAAAAACGAACGAATCGGAGTTTTTGATAAAAAGGCTGAAATTTGAGAGACAAAAGGGAAAAAAATCTCAGCCCTGTATAAAGGTCAACCAGTTTTATCCTAAGGAATTGATTTTTAGAGAAATTTCAGAGGGAGGAAAGAGAACTTCAATAATTTCGATCCGCAGAAAATTAAATTCCTCATAAAATATTTTATCTTGTGCAAAAAAAAAAAATTTCAGCGGAAATTAGCGGGAAAAATCTGAAAAAAAGCGGAAATCCGCGGAAGAATCTCATCCCTGCTATAGTTTGTCCTGATTGTCCATCTCAAACATTAAAAAATTATTTCTGTTCCACGCAAGTTTGAATTTTCATGTAAGAGTCATAAAAGCCTTTTTCGTGAATTCTATTCTTAGATGCCTCAAAATTGAGATAAATTTTAAAAAACAATTTATTCTGTCATATTAACTCAGTTACATTTCTCCGTTTTATCAAATGATGAGTATATCCGTTACCAACCACTAAACCAATTTAACATGCAGATTAAATAGCTTGATCCGTTAAAAGTATGAAATCAAAGGCTTTCCGCAATTTAAATAGGTCATTTGTACATTAACAGTCTTAATATTGTTACAATTAAAAGTTTCTCATATTCTATCAACTAATTTGTTGATTGTATTGACTTGATTCCTTAGATATGAGAAAATAAATAAATGACATATTAATTTCCTTAATTGTAATAATATTTTAAACCATTTGAATCTTTGTATTATACTTTTTTGTAAAGTGACTGGTGATTAATTCTATCAACTAATGTGTCGATTGTAATAACTTGATCTTTTAAACAGTGAAAAATAAATAACATTGTTTATTTTAAGCGCACTGAGATATAGTTGTTCCAGCAAAGATCTTATTTTTATTTTAATGGAGTACCTAGTAGGTAATGTGTTGATTATTTAGAAATGTGCAGATTACCAGGGAAATTAATAAATTTTTTTAGCACTTTAACAGATCACTTTTGTTATAAATCTGCACATTAGCTATAAAATCTGCAGAATAAATCTATCTACACTTTAACCGTGATGTTAATTAATACTATAAATTTTTTGGGGGAGTACATACTGGTCTCTTCCAAGTAATCACAGGTACAGGATCACCAGTTGCCTCACATGAAATAGATATAGTCTCTCCCTCTTTTACAGTCAAAAGACCACTTCTGGGATTTGGATAGACTTTTGGTGCAGCTATAAAAAAAATAATTAATATAGGTTAACATATCCATCTTAAAAAATGACATAAAAAGTTGCTGATTGTTTTTATCTGATTAACCATCTGTTAAGGTCATTTAACTAATGAATAAAAAATTAGTAAAAAAATTTTTTTAGGTAAATAACTTGAAGCAATCCGTAAAAATAAATAATGTTAAATTTTTTTTTCTTCATTATTTAACACTAAAAGCATAGCAAAAATTGAAATATTAACGTTAATACAAATTAATATTGAGAGATATAGTAAAATATCCTTCCCGAATCAGAAAATTGTTGTGTTTCTTTTCAGTTGAAAAAATAGGAATTCCTTATCTCCTAAAATTTTCTGAAAATTATTATTATATGATATATGAATCTATTTTTTTATGTAGACACTTACAAACAACTTCAACTGTAATTACAGCACTTGCAGGATCTCCAACACCATTATCAGCAATACATTCATATTCTCCAGAATCACTCTTTTGCGCACTGTTTATCCTGAAATTTGTGTCATCGCTGCTATCATAGTGAACACCCTATAATTAAAAACATACTCATCACTTAACAGACAACTTAACACATACACATCACTTAAAAACATACACATAACTTTAAATTTCAGTAAAAAAAATTATTTATTTTCTTCAATGCAGCAATAAAAAGTGCTTTTCCTAAAACATAACCAGGTAGGTTAGATAAAACTATAATTACTGCTCTTAATTGAATTTTTATCATCCATGTCCAGAAAGTGAATGTTATTAAGAAATAAAAAAATTTAAAGAGTTTGTAAATAGGCAATTCTTAATAGTATACACATATATTAAGGATGTAAGGAATAGTGATTTGGCTGAATTGCCGAATATCGAATATTCAGCAGACGAATAGCAACATTTTTTTTCAATAAAATAATCAATAAATATTATTTTTTATAAAAAAATTAGTATAGTCATTATTAAAACTTAGCTGTATTATTGGTATGGGATGGGGTACAGAAAAAAACTTTAATAGAAATGTTCAAGATAACAAAGATAATTAGAAATATTTAAGATAAAAAAAAAACTGACAAACTTTTAAAAAACAAAGATTATATACGAAACAGAAAAATAAAAATTTATCTCAATTTCTGAAAGAAAATTTTAAAGCTAAACATTTAAATTTTCCTATTACCCTGTTTTCAAGAAAAAGCAAGAAAAGCTTAAGAGGGTTTCTGTTAGATTAAAATCTAACAGAAACCCTCTTAATTGCAGTGTCATAATATAAAACATCTACAAAATCATAAGTTTTTTGAAAAAGAAAAAGCTAGATAGAAACCTAAACAAAAATCATTCTTAATTTTTAAACAAAATATTTTTCGCTAAAAATCTTAATTTAACTTTTCCACATTGCCCTATTTTTAGAAAAAAGTGACCATAAAAGAAAAACGTTCATTAGAATCACTCTTTAAAAAATGCTGTGATGATAAAAACGCTGATAAAAAGAAAAGTTAATAAAAAAAAATCTAAAGAGAAACAAAAAAAATATAAGTTCTTAACTCTGAAATATAACTTTAAAGTTGAGACTCATAATTTTCTATGTTACTTTTGCCAAGTATTTGGCCCAATACCGAATATTCGTTATATCCCTAATATATATATCAAGGTGGTTTCAAAGTATTTAGATAATATCAAAAATATGTTCTTTCTTCTGAGTTTAAATAGCTTAATCGATTGGGAGTTTCATTAAATTATGCATTTAGGGAATAATATGTCACTTTTGTAAGTTAGCTCTACCTAGTGCTTTCTATGCTGGTAATGAAAATCGTTTAAAATTCAATATGAAGAAAATCGTAACTCTTTAAAAATAAAAAGCATTTGCACTCCATTTTTTTTAAAAAAAAAAACACATGAAGACAGTTACTGCATCATTTGTATGTGCATTGGTCTTTCAGAATTTAATATAGATGAAAAATCTCACTAAATTGGTAATTAATTATAATGCTTTATCAGGGTGTGTAGCCAAATCTTTGAATCAGAAATAAGCACTTTTTAAAAACTTTTCAAGCACTTTACAAAAATTTTCAAGCACTCAAAAAATTCATATTCAATCAATGATATTATTGAAAAACAAAAACTTTTTATAAACAGTTTTAGCGTTAAAAAAAACCCAAAAAGAAACGGGCGTAAATCGAAACAATCAGTACTTTCCCACATCACCGAGTGAATTCAACTTGACCCTGAACTCAGAACAAAAGTACCCTTACCCCCTACGTCAAAAAAAGTGTTAGAAGTAAAATAAAATAAACAAGAACAAAATTAAAATAAATTAAAAAGAAAAACATTTCATAAGGATCTGATATTCTCTATCCGAATTGGAGCACTCTGGTTTCGGTTTCAAGCGTGCGCGCATGCGCAAGTCATAACATGGGTACGACATGAAGTCCGTGTGAATGATTACGTAGCTAACTCCCCATTTTTCGTGGAATGCATGGGATCCACCAGATATCACTGAAGGGGAAAAAAAATTTCGAAAAAAAAAGCACTTTTTAAAAACGACAGCTGAAAAAAGCACCTTTAAAAGCTTTTAAAAACGGAATCCCCCAAAAAGCACCTTTAAGTACTTTTTACAAACGCTACGCACTCTGTTTATATATATATATATGTTTTTTTAAGTATTTAAAATGTTGCAAGATAGTAAGTGTTATTATGAAATTAAATCATGTTTAAAGAACTCAAACAATTTTTTTTCTTCTTCTCCTTGATGAATAAGAAAGAAAGAATAACTTAAGACCACACAGTGTTACTACTGATAGAGTATGCTTGATCACATAATCTAGTGTATGACCCATGACCAGAGATCTCTCCACCTGCAAACTTAGCACTTTTTTAGTCATTTTCTTAAAAGAAGCTGCAATGCTGAGTTGGTTTACTCATTACAAATGCAATACTTACAGCATGTTTCCAGCGGATAATTGGTTTAGGATTTCCACTAGCAGCACATGACAGAGAAACTGTTTCCCCTTCTTTTACATTGATGAAGCCATCTTTTGGATGTGGTTTTACGGTAGGAGGGTCTAAAAATAGGTATATGGTTTTATTATACTTTTAAAAAATTAGTACAATGCAATAAATTTATTGCTAAAAAATAAAAAAGTGTTTTTTCAGAATAATTATTCAATATGTTTCTTTAACTGATGAAGTTTTACATTTGTTCAATGTTCCTTTAGCTAACAAGTTTTTAGAATTGAGATATTTAACAGATAATGTTAAGTGAAAAGTTGCAACTAATTAGTTAGAATGTCTTAGTTTGACTCCACATTCTTTTCTCTAAATATATGAAAGGAATTTTTAACACAAGTCTTTAATCAGTTTACAGTAACTCAGATGCCTATGTATTTATGTGTGCAATTAAGAAAACTATTGCAAATGTGTACTTTAACCAGGGGTGATTGTGAGCCCAAGTCAAAATTCCGGAAAATTTCTTGAGTTAAAAAAAAAAAAGTTTAAATTGAAAAATTAGAAAAAAATGTAAACAAGTTTTTTTCTCCCTTTTTCTCAAGATTTCTTAGTTTACTTAAAATATATTTAAAATTTCACACATACCTATGATGACCTGGAGAAGTAATTAAAATCTATAAATATGTCTTTCTTGANGTAACAATTTTTTTTTTCTCCTTTTTCTTAATATTTCTTAAGTTTACTTAAAATATATTTAAAATTTCACACATACCTATACCATTTACACATACCTATGATGACCTGGAGACGTAATTAAAATTTACAAATGTCTTTCTTTCTTGAGTTTATGTTTATAATAACCATTTACCGATAAAAAATGAATATTAATCATGATTATAAGCTTATAAAGTATCTGGCTCTTCCTTACTAACAAATAAAATAGTGTTTGTAAGTTCCACCTTTGAAAATTTGATTTCCGGAAAGTTCTGTGAACAATTATATTTTTAAATCTCTGGACTTCCGGATCACTGTTAGCGAAAAATCCGGATTTTTTTCCGCAGCGCAATCAGCCCTGTTTAACGTTGACCCTCTTTTGTAAATTGAAATTCATGATCGCAATGCCCATGATTTATGAAAATTCTACTAAGCAAAGAGATCATTTACTGCTAAAGTGTTTGTTAAAGTTGTCTACAAAACTTCTTAACTCATAAAAATTTTTTTCCTGGTGTTATTCCATAGATAAATTCTATAATTTAATCAGCTACCTACTAATTAAACAATAGTTATTTTTGTAAAATTAATGACATTTCATTGAAATTTAGAGTAAATCAGGCTTCCAATGAGAAAATCTCATTAGATTTTAATAATTGCAAATTGACTGCATCACACTACTAATCTAATACTCAAACATAAAAGCAAGTAATCCAATGCTTACAAAGAACATCCAATGTGTGAGAAAGTTCTAACGGAGGAATAGTACTTATTTGGCAAGTATATTCTCCACTATCCTTAGGATGAACATTTGAAATAACCAATGATGTTCCATCTACATTGATACGATCATCCTTAGTTATTTTCATTTGTCCTGCAAATAACATTTGGTTCCTTCCCTTCTTCCATATAAGGACATAATCACCTGAAAGAATGTAGAAAATTGTTAAAATATGTTAGAGCTAACTTTCCTTATTATTTTTTTTTTCGTAAATATCATGAAAAAGCAGCAATTTTTTTTTTCAATTAAAAAAATAAGTATATCACAATTTCAAATTTGAAATAGGAATAGGTAAATTTTGATTTGCTTAAAAAATAATAATAATAATATAGTTTATGAAAATTGTTCAACTGTCATCATCCACAATCTGGGATTTTACCCCATTCTTCGGAGTGGCTTGAAGTCTACCAGGTTTCATGTTGATGGTCTGAGTGGTACAACACTAAAAATTCAGTCTAAAATTATGTAATATTGCAGTGTTTTTTCGTTACCGATTGGCAAAATGGGTGTTGTTTTGGGGTTGATGGCATGCGCACTTTATTTGGACACCATCACACTTTTCAACTGTGTTCAAGAGTAATAGTAAACAGTGTGCATGCATAGTCATTGCATGCACAATGTTGTACACACTGGTTGTCATTGCGTTTCTATGGCGACCACTGCTGTTTGATAATTTTTTTAGAATTCTTTCTTTTCACCAGCAGGCATTTTTAATGTATTTACATATTAATAATTCAAAGTATTTTTATATTCTTAAATTATAATTACTGTCTTGACTGTAATTTTAATATAAATATGAGTTACTGACGAAGGAAAAGTATTTTGTGACGTCTTGAAACACGTATATTGGCAGGATTTGAAAATCAATCCGACCGCAAGAGGACAAATATCAATTGAAACAGTTTTTGCAACCCATGATTTGAAATGTTGTGGTGTTTATCTGAGTCAATCCGGAAAAAAAATGGGTAACCAGTGATTATAAGAAAGCGATGACAATTTTTTAAGACGTTTTACTAATATTTTAAGTAATAAAAGATTAAATTATAAATTTTGTAACAATTGACTGTAAAAATAAAATTTCATTACTGATATTGACTAATTGTCATTAAAATTTTTTAAGATGACATAATACTTGTTTTTTACTTATTTTTTATAACTGCTACAATATTTTTTACTTATTCATTTAATAATTTCAGAAGTTGGAGGCAAAGTGCATTTTAACACAGTAAAAATAAAGAAAAATCTTACTCCAACTCAAGCATTCACAAAATCTTAACAAAATTACACAGATTCACAGTTTGTAATTATTATACAAATTATTAAACGATTATATCAAAATAAATCGGCAATGTAAATACTATCAGACACACAAATCTCAGATTTGAATTATCTTTTGTGAAAAAGACTCATAAATAGCAGAAAATTGCATTTTGAGAATCGTATTGCTTAATTTAAGTTTATTTGAAAGTAAACTATTTAATTTTTAAAGTAGACTCAACTTTAAAAAAAAAAAGTCAATCTATCAAATCCAATATCAAAATTTTGCTTATTTTTCTATAAACTAGGAAAATAATTATATTTATTAAAGTTAAGCTGCTATAATAAGAATAAACATTTAGACGATACTTTATTTTTGGTGCCCTTAAACATATTAAATTCAGTTGCATTTAAAAGTTAAAAAAAGAAAATCATCTTAAGCCTACTAAGAGGATATTTTAAAGTTCACTATAATTTAATTAAAAAGAAATCCCAAACGTTATTATCTAAAATAAAATTTCAATGATATCTTAGCAAACAATTCTATACAGAAAAAAAAAACAGAAAATTACCCAAATCGTCCACTTCACAATAAAATGTAGCAGTTTCTCCTATAGTTGCATCAACTTTTGATTCAGATGTTAACATATGAGGCTGGTGAGTTGACGGCACTTCTTCAAACTCCTCATCAAATTGACCTGAAATAAAATTATTATATTAAAAATTGTAAAACTAAGCAAATATAAAGCTAAATATTATAAGAGAAATACTTTTAAACTAAAAATTTAATAATATAATATATAAAAAATTAAAAAAATATCTACTGATTACTAATTGGATCTCCTCCATGCCCATTTATTTATCCCAATTTTTGAATATGCTGAGAAGTACAGAAAATAAAGTTTTAGAGCGATCAAAAGGTATTATTTATTGAAATAAAATTAATACATTAATTGTTAAGTAAAGAAAAATATTAAAGAAGAAATAGTTTTCGACTAAAATTTTTTTTTCTTCTTCTCTGTAACGGCTGGTACTGAACTTTCGTTCTTCACCTCTGAAGATGCCGGAAGTGTTGCACATTTAATGTTGCCCAGTGGGCACCTGTGAACCTTAGTCACGGAGGGCGAGCAACATTACCCACGCCACAAATACTCGTTCACAGGGTGGGCCATAGTAAATTTTTAAAATAAAAAAAAATTGTTTTTTCTTAAATTTTCTTTTTTATCCTGTTTACATTAAAATATTCTTATTTTAGAATTTAGTTGCTCATAGCTAAATGTTAAAATAATAACACATAAAATTGTTACTTAAACTTGTTTGATAGCATACCAAAAATAACACATTGCTAAAGAAGTAATGATTTGAACTAGTCCGAAAATCCTCGCCATTTATTTTCAGGGGTCTGTCTAGGTTTTTCTGAGAGGTACCCATTTTGTGAAAATTTCGACATAATTTGTGAAAAATTAAATTAAAAATCAACACAAAAATATGGTAAAAATAACGATTTATCATTTCTTAAGGGATGCAAAAATAAAATTTTAAGAAAAAGTATTTTATGAAACTACCATTTTTCCTAAAGTTGAATTTGTGAAGGTATCGCTAAACGGTAGTAAATTCGGCCTGGACAGACCCCTGATTTTAGACTGGGCAAATTATTTTCTAAGATTAAAAGAGTAAATTTTGAAGAAAAAAAAATTATCAACAAATTATTTATTTGAAAAAAGCAGACTATAACAATTAAATAAAAAAAAAATTCTTAATCATTAAAATTAGTTTTACGTTCAATTAATTTATATTACTTTCATGTAACTTAATTTAGATATTCTACAATTACATTTCTGACTGTATGTTTGACTATCAAACTTTATTGCATTTAATTGTAAAAATAATGTACTTCACATGTATTTAAATGTCATATTCAATGGTATTTTGTTAGAAATAGACAATGCTTTAAAGATGAATTCTAAAATCTTTTATTTACTTATTTATTATACTTCTCCAAAAAATTATTTTATTTATTTAACTCTTCTGATTATTGATTCCACAAGGATGGATTATGATTATAACATACACTTAAAAACTTATTTTTGCTTTGCCTCCTAACACTGAAATTTAAGCATATATATCCATTATGTATATAAATTAAATTAAATACAAAAGGAAGAGCTCAAGCAGTTTTTACAATTGTTGAAGGTAAATTGCATCATAACAGACAAAATATTTTTAGACTTAAATTACAGTTTAACTTTCAGAGTTGGTTGAAATTTTTGTACTTTAAATGAAACAAAAGAAAAAAAAATTGGAGTTTTTTAACGTAATTAAAGTTTTAAAAAGTGTAAATAACACTAAGATTTATTTAAAAAATATATATATTGCATAGCCTGATTTTTTTAAAGTTATACATGTCTAAAGTCTGCTAACAGGGCCTTCGTAAATGCTGAAATTGTCTAAGAATACTAAGTTTGGTTAATTGTTACACAAGTTTCTGCCTGGTAAAATATTACAAAAAGCTTATCATAAGTTATAGTGTAAGTTAAGTTATTATAAGTGAAATATTTTTTCACATTCAATTTTTTTTAATGAACACCTATTTTTAAAAAAAAATAAAGTTTTAAAAAGTCTTCTTTTATTCTATTGCGGAAGCTCAAACCAATTATTATGGTTAGCCACAGTACACAATTGCTTATTGGGATAATGCTTTTAATTTCAAAATGAAATGTCAAGCACAAACAAAACTAAAGATATTTTAGTGATTTGTGACAATCTTACTTCTGCATATATTTGTATACAAACGCTAGAATCAAACTAAGGATGATAATTTAAACAAGTAATCTAATAATTCACAAATATGCTGGACCTTAACAGAATAGAAAGATTATTCTAATTCAAAAACTTCGTAAATGGTATAAGCAAACACCTACAATTAAAACGAAGCTTTTAAAGATCTTTAAAACTGAGATTTCTTTTCTCAACTTTACTGTAATTTTCAAAAAATAATGTAAGTATTATTAATAATCATGTTAAAAGGAATTAAACACATTTTCTTTAGAAAATTTTTATTCTAAATACACAAGCATATTACACGTATTCAATAGAGTATATTGAATTAATTTTCATATCCACAGTTGAGAGCCACTATAGAAACTACTGAAGTTACATCAAGCCACAAAATATAACATATATATTGAATTCTATCAGTAACTACATAATTTCAAAACATAAGTTTTAAATTAATTCCTTGCAATATTATTATTAAATAATTATACTTTTAAGTAATAAATATAATTCTTGATAATGTTTTAGTCTAAATTTAGAAAAATTTAACATATAACAAAATATAATTAACTACTTTTTAAAAAAAGCAACATTAATAAAATGCATTGTTAAGTAATTTATGAAGAATTGGACAGTAACCAAAATCTCCAGATTTTAGGAGTATAATGTCATACTTACAATCATTCAACAGTTTTTAATAAAATTAATCAAAACTAAATATTACAAATTACACAAAATATCAACCAAGAATATTTAATTAGCACGAAAGCCTTCATAACTGAACATTACAACAAAATTTTTGAAAAATCTATTTGTTTACTTTCTTGTACTATTAAAAATTAACAAAACTATATATATATTTAAAAAACATTAACATGAAGAAATTAACAGTTCAAATATAAGGCATTTTTAAATAATTTAATTTTATAAGTTGGATAACTCCAATATAAAATAATAAACACATATAAAGCATACAGGTTAACTGGTAAGACATGAGAATTAAATATGAAACAATTTCACAAATTTTTTTTTTATCAAAAAACTATTTCATTGCACAAGATAGCAGTAACAAATAAGTTGAAATTATTTAGTTAAAGAAAAGTAGATGGAAGAATATTGTAATGTCTTGACGTCACAGACACAAAATACCACCCTGATAAAGAATTGGCACTCATTTTTAATAAATAATGACTTGTCACTTTCCAACAAGAAATAAACCAATCTTTTTAAAATTCCTTTGTTTTAGTGGCATAAAATATTTATCATACCAAAATAACATTTTAATATAGTGAAAAATTTTACTTTAAAACAGAGCGAAGTAAATGTAATGCATAAAAAAATTAAATAAGATTTTGAATTGTTATCCTAGGTCAAAATAAATTACATTTATTACAAAGACATGAAATTTTTGTTCAAATTTACACAAAAAATTTGAAATATGCTTATTTTGTGCTCAAAGATTTCTTATATGATGAAATGAATTCTTAAAGAATAAAGTGACCAATATAAACTAACAGGTTTAATTTAAATTACTTCCTAAACCCTATTACTGTAAAAAGTATTCTTTAAGGATTTAAAGTGAAAAATAAAAATTTATTATTTAAACACAAAAATAACAAATACATTTTGTTAATTTTCAAAAGAATATCTAATGCAGCAAACCCCTTTTTAAAGGAATCTTGTATAACTGTTCATCGACTTGCAATAATTACCTACTTAATTACATCAACTAAATTTAACCAATATGTTCGAATACATATAATTATTTAAAAAACTTATATAATTGGAAATTACTAATAAAAATATAGAAATGAATAAATAAATTTAATTATCATAGTATAAATAACATTTTTCAATGCAGATGAATCGTTAAAAGTGTTGTTAAAGTTCAATTTCAATAGTTCAAAATGAAAATTTTAATCAAAACAAGATTACTATACTAAGAAACCAAAATACCAGACTTGAAGAGCACAATTTAAGGTTTGCAAGATGAAAGAAAATTAATATATCAGTCACAATATGGAATGATGCTTTTTATGTGGCATAACGCTTGGTCCACAATCGAGCAATTCGATCATGTTCTTCTCTATGTTGAAGATATTGAGTTGCGATGCTACCAACCAAAGGATCAGCAGGATTACTATCAGTTAATAGGGAACAAATCGACAAAAGTACCTTAGAAATAGTTAAAGCAGGACTCCAGTTATCCTTGAGAATGTCCAAGCAAATCACACCCTGACTATTGATATTGCAGTGATAAATTCTGGTACGGAATGTCACTTTAGGGGGTTTAAATGGATATTCAGGTGAGAAATGAATATCTAGGAAAAACACACCTCCTTCATAGGCAGATCCAGGCGGTCCCAATATAGTTGATACCCATTCATATAAATTATCACCTTTCGGTCCGGCGCTACAATTCGGAGGAGGATCAAGGGTTATTTCTGCTAGCTCCTTTTGAATGCGTTTCATGCTAGTGTTAAGAGCTTTGGACATTTTTGGTGTCGATTTTTGTTCTTTGCCATCTTTCTCACGCTCATTGTTTGATGACGCGGACCCACTCAGACGGCCTCTTGAAGAAGAAGCTCCACCGGAGCTGCTAGACGACGCCATATTGATTCTCGTCGCGAAGAGTTTTTCACTCCAGTTTCTAATCAATAAAAAGCTCTAATTTTGAGGATATTTTGAATTAAATGCCAATTGAGGAGGACAAAAGTTCAATTCTTTTGTTTAGAAGATTGATGTTAGTAGAAGTGGAAGTTTTCTATATCTTATCAACAGTTACAGTTTATATTTAATTTGCATTCCGATCAGGTCGAAAAAATCAAGGCTAGAACGACAGCGCGGAGAGGAATATCCTAGATGGCGCTACAAAACAGTTTTCGAGAAGAAGAGAGGGAGAAAAATGAAGAAATTTTGGGAGTGAGTTTTCGAACGAGATTTTTCTCCACGTTCGCTACCAACGCGGTCATTACAGTCTTGGAAACTCCCTGTTTTTAGTTAGAGCTGTCTGTGTCGAATATTAAGACTTTTAGGTAAGAGGCGAATAATATTTTGGGGGGAGGGAGGTTGTAAATAATAACATTTATGATAATAATTTATTTAATTTAAAATTATTCATCATATTAACCTGAAAATATAATATGTTTATTAAATAATATACTTACTTAAATAAACATATATGTTTTTATTTCTCTGTTAACATGAATTTAATTTGACTGACCAGATTAAAAATATATTGCCATCAACCCCGTCCTAGGAATGATCAGTGAACTTCTAAATCAGATAATTTGCAAATAAAACTTACTGTTATTCATATGGCAATCAATTTAATGTAGTTTAAGTACCACCGACGTTTCTAAATATTGGTGAATCATAAATATTATTTGCTACTAGACGGATAGCTTCTAGATTTTAAAATTTGCAGAATTTCAATGTGTTGTTGCATAAAAAATTTGAATAATTACTATCATTAACGGAAAAAACGGATACTATCTGCTTTTATTGTGAATTTGATAAGTTGTAATTGTTTGTAAATAGTTGACGTAAGCAAGGCAGTTACTTTCTAAATTCTTTTTTGCTTTTCTGTTGAAAAGATTTTATGTATTATTGCTAGAAAGTTTATTTAAAAATAGTGTGAAATGTTTATCCTTCTCCCCCCTGATATTTTTTGAAATTTCATAGGATGAGCGAAAGGCAAAGAAACTTTAAGTTAGATAATATTGATATGATTACACTTTTCTTAAAGAAATTGGAGGCTCCATCCCGTCTCCCCGCTCACCTGCCCCCGTGGTTGCTTCTCATTCATTATTGTTTTTTTCCCTTAGAAATTTTCAAAAAAATTACAATTTTATCTTCAAAACATAATTTTATTCCAGAAAATATTGTTGATATGTTAATTCGTAACAAAATGAGCGAATATCTGCGTTTTAAAAATCATTAGAACTTCACTTGAAAAAAAAATTAAATTTGAGATATAAAATATGCGATACAATATTAAGTAATAAATAAGAAATAATTTTACCTGCAAAAAAAATCTAACGATAACCATTCATAACTACTGAAATTGATTCTCATTCAATTATTCAAACTTTTTTCACTTTCTTGAATCATATATTCTTAAAATCTTGCAGCATCTAATCTTTCAGACTCTCAATTTTTTAATTGCATTTATTCATTATTAGTTACTTTTTACACCAAGTCAAGTGCGACTCATAAAATGAATCTCTCAAAAGAGACAAATTTTTCTACAGCAATGGATAAAAAATGAATTTAAAATAAAAATTGAGAAGAAGGCATTTAAAACATTCGTGCAAATTAGAAAAAAACTCACGTTGAATTTAATAATGGAAATGACAATATTAGCACGTAAAATTTCTATTATGTTGTTGCATTTCAGTGGTCTATAGATCAACCCGCATGGTATTATATACTACAAGTTTAAAAGTTGATAATTCTCGAACTAATAATTGAAACTTAATTTTTTTATTTCCTCTTTCTTCTTGCACACTTTTCAACATATATTGGCTACTTCAAATTTCCAAGTTTGTTACAGTTCCATAGCTCTTATGCAACAAACCAAAATGTAATCTGGTACAAAACAGGAACAAAAAAAATTATAGTTTAAGAACTATTAAATAACTCTTAAGGAACTATTTTAATAAAGAAATACCATGTGAACAACTCTGCAGTCCTCAGAAATTCAACGACACAGTTGAAATTTACGTGTTGAAGTGCCATTTTTATTTATGAAATAACAGCGAGATTTTTTTGAAATTTTAATTTGTTCGATGGCAAATTTAATCCTTTTCACTCTTTTCGCTCCAAATAATGACTATTTGTCCATTCTTGTAGAAAAATTTATCTCATTAGAGATCTTCATTTTATTAGCTCACGCTTGAAGCGATAAAAAACGAACCAAGAAAGAAAATTATTAAAGATAATAAAGAAAAAATAAGAGAATGTGTGAATCGATGTTGTCAGACATGCATTCTATATTCATTTCGTTACGATTAGCATGTAATCAAAATGTGTTTACACAAAATTATAATTATCATATAATTTATAAACAAATTTTTTTTTCTTTTTACCCTCTAAAAAATAATAATTAAAAAAACAAAGATGAAATAGAAGCAACTACGGGGATAGGTGAGCAGAGCAAACAGGGTAACCTAGAAGAAATTATAAGAATGCTTTGTGATATGATTATGCTTAAATAAAAACATCATTGATCACAAATAAAACCAGTCTTGAATGCAATATGGTGTACTTTATAAGCAGGATAAAATAGCAGGTATTATAAAAATACGGATGATGCAAATCTACAACTGGTAGCGCCAACTATGGGTAAATGCAGTTAAAAAGGAGTAAAAACGTTGATTTCAACGTTGTTTTTACTTAATTTATCATGTAAAAACCTAATATTTATTATGATTGAAAAATCAGAGAAACTCTCGCAAATTTTGACACATAACCGTCAAAACATATCAAAGAAATTGCTATCAAAGGCTAATAAGATGTTTAAGTTTCACAAGTAAATTGTTTTTAGTTTATTTGTTATCAAAGCACTTGCCCAACGTGGAATATATTTTTAGAATTTGCCACATTAAAACGGAGTATTGGAAAGAAAAAAAAACAGAATTCAATTATTTACAATGAATCATCGTCAAAGGCGAGGCTAATGAAAGATATTTAGTAGATTTTAGTTTAAAAAAGACAGAGACAGTATTCAGTGTCATCCATATGGGGTTGCCGGAAATTTGGCATCCCCCACCCCCTCCATCAAACGGAAATGAACGATGAAGTAACCAGCTATATAATTTCTCATTTATAAGATAATGTGTTCATATTACAAATTCTCACCGAGATCGGCAGTCATTTTAAATGTAACATTTTTCTTTGTCTGGTAGAACTGAAGCAATTGTGCGAAGAGGTGGGAAAAAAATGAAATGAAAGAGTTAGAATTAAATTTGACATATGAATTTACAGTAAGAAGTTACAGTTCTTTTCTTATTTATAATCAGCCATTTTCACTTACTTTTCTTCTCTTTATTTTGGTCAAAAAGTGATAAATGATCGAACATTTATAGCAATCTTTTTACTTTTATCTTTTTTTAAAATTTATAGTTCGTTATTTACAACTTATAAATAACCGCGTTTCTTCCATTTTTCCATGCAACATTTACGAATTTGGAACGAAGGAAATTCACAAATCACAATCTTAATTTCATATTCAACATAGGAAAGATAAAATTAGTGCTGTAGACTAAAGCAAAAAACTCCGTGAATAAAGCATATATTAAAATAGTACATAAATTCATATATTCATTTGCGCTTCATTCACGTTGTTTTTTGCTTTAATATTAACAAATTTATCATAACTGAAACCGTAAAGGTGGACAGAATCGTAACTCAAACAAATTGTAATCGATTGAATTTCAATTTAAACGTATTTATTTCATAGAGATGTTTAAGCTGACGTCACTGCTCTTACCTGTCCTCTGGAAATCCATGAATGATCTTATCAGATACAGATGCAACTAATAGAAATGCGTTTCGATTTGGATAGAAATACGAATCGCCCAATAGTAATCGTGCAAACGGAAATTGATTGAATGATATTAGTATACTGATCTAGTTTGGCCTCTGATTCGGACATCTCTATTGCATTGATTTTTTCATTTTTGTAAGAAATTTTCTGTGGGTTTGAAATTAAGAAAAAGGTGCGCTTCACTGTAGAAAAGCTGTCTAGTCACCTTTTTGTTTTGCATTACTTTAAAAAAATAACAATTTTTACAATTTACAAGATGTATAACAATTGATTTTTTCCCCATTTTTCTAGCTGAAATTTTTTTTGATATATACTTACTTATTTTATTCTGTCGTTAAAGTGGCCTAACCTAAACAATAACTTAACCCTAAGCAACAAATGTTGCTATAATACGAATAATACGATATGCGTATAATACGAAAGGAAAGAAAAAAGTTACGGTTTATAAAAATCATTCTAATATCATATATTTTTAGTTCTTTTAAATTATAAAGTTATTTTTTTCTTTTCGTATGAACACAAAGTTAATTTTTATCAAGTAAACAAATTAATTTAAATTTTAAAGAAATTATTTTATAATGCTGCACACAATAAAAAAACTTATCAATAAGGGTGTAAGAAGAAAAAGAATTCTATATTCCCTCTTCCATTATTTTATAAAAAACCTAGTTACAAGTCGCCGATACCGATACATCTACCAATGCAGATCTTGCCCTCATCATCAATAACCCTGATTACTAAGACCATCTTTCCCTTGCAGTGAATAAGGGCATACATTAAAATTTTTTGAAGCATTCTTTTTTTTTTTTTTTTTAGAATTTAAGAAAAATAGCATATCAGTAAAACAAGATCAACACGACCACATTTACACGATCATATTTCAGCAATGATGGAGGGAAAAAAAGTAATACTATTGTGTTTTGACGCACTTATCAAAACAAAAAAATTCAGCTGATTGATTAACACATCGCCCGCCAAACTGATAAATCGAAATGACAAGCCACGAGGAAGATATGCTATGCAAAAGCGGTACCACATGGCGGTACAAACCAGCACGTGTCATGTGTCGTCCTTACTCAAAACAACCTAAAATATCTCACATGTCGCACCCTTAGAAGGGATAATAAATATTCGGGGCCTTTCCTCTTGAAATCCGCGAATCGAAAAGATGACGGATGGACGACAAAAAAAAAGGAGGGTGGTGTGGACGCCATGTGTCGACTCTCTGAATCATCGAACTAATATCGATAACGCTTGATATTAT